ACAAATGTTATCGTAGAATCATAAAGGTTGGAAAAGAGCTCTGAGATCATCAAGTTCAACCATGAGCCCATCACAACCACGTCCCTCAGTGCCACATCTCCATGGTTCTGGAACAGCTCCAGGCACGGTGACTCCATCTCTGCCTGGGCAGCTGTTTGCAGGGCAAACACGATGATGGTGGTGGGTGCAAGTTGTTCTGGGAAGGGGCGAGTGGCAAGGCAAGGGCCATTGGCCATAGCTGGGAGCTTCAGGCTGGTCATCGGGAGGAGTTTTTCCAGCAGAATGTGGTGCAGCGTGGGCAGAGGCTGCCCTGAGGGTGGGGAGCTCTGCAGGAACTGGCAGAACAACCCCAGGTGATCTCATCTGGTTGGTGGTGAGCAGAGCGCTGAGCTGGGCAGCTGCCAGGGGCCCCTTATAGCCGCTCTGGGAGGCTGTGCCTGGCTGAGTCACCAAGAGAGCCTCGTGGTGAGGTCCAAACCACTTCAGTCTGAGATTGCTATGCAAGTAGCTGTCTCTACCTGCCCCTTGTGCTGGTGTGTGTGGGGGTATTTCTGGCCAGTGCTCCTCTAGGACAGCGTGTGGGGCTTACGCAGCCCTCCCACCTCTGAGGGTGCTTGGATGGGGCTGCCCCAGCAGGGCTTGCTCATCAGTGACCAGGTAGTGAGTCACAACGTGTTGTCCTTGAAGCAGAATACCTCCCAGTTTTTCCCCAAAGCGTGCTTATATGAAGGGAAAATGAAACTGCTTTCTCCCTGTACTGATTTTAGCCATGTGCTAAAAACCAGTGAGTGCATTTGTTTGGTATCTTTAGCCAGATAGCAGGAGGTGGCCCCCATTTCTGAAATTGGGTGCAAAGAAACTTTGTTGGCGTGCATTTATTTTCAACTAGGCACAGTCATCTTCGACCCGAGATTCAGTGATACAGGGTAGATTCATACCGTGACCACAGCTAAGCTGAGGAGTTTCTGTGCACCAGCAGTGAGCAGGTCCTGCTAAGGCAGGAGGGTCTCCAGCAATGACTGGGGTCTGCAAGGCTTCGCTGGCAGTATGAGTTTGAGCTGTAAGAAATCTTCCTTTTTGTGTACATGGACGAAACACTGAGCTTTTGTTTAGGTGAGACCAAAGTTCTCAGAAAGTATCTTGGTGGGTTTTTTGTGGTGTTTTTTTTTTTAGTTTTTTTTTTTTTTTGGTAGCATTTGCAGGAAGAGTAGAAAATTACAGAGCTTCACTATGCGTGCTTCTGAACTGATATCACTGTGAATCTGTTACAAATTATCTGGGAAATTGATGGCTTTGAGAGCGGCTGTTTACCCAGTGTGAGTGTAGTTCACACTGGGGTGGGTTTGTTTTGTTGTTGTTGTTTTTTTTTCCACTGAAAACTTTACCAGTTGTTGCTATTTACAAAGCAGAAACTGGAACCTTCCCTGAACACCGTGCCATTGGCAGGGCATCTGGAAAGGCCACAAACTGGGTGGCTGAGTTCCTGAAAGCCATTTCCAGGCAGACTTGCTGCTCTCAGCACTGTGGACTGCATGTATGGGAATTCACCCAGTTAGGAGGAAAATGATGACCAGCTGTGGTTCTTCAGCATGCCTTTTCTTTGTGCATCCTCTGTGCTGTGCCTGCTGGAGAGCAGGACAATGCTGACACACAAAGGTGGGAGTGTGGTGCCTCTTAGCCACAGTTTGGCACTCCATGAAGGCAGAGCTGAGTGTGTGTGCTGCCTGGAAGCCTGACCAAAAACCTCAGCTATCCCAGGACAATAAAGTTCCTGTGTTCCAGGTAGGCCTCAAAGATGAGTCTCAGAGAACTTCCCTTGCTCTGATATTTCGTAAAATGGGTGACCGGTCACTAAAGAAAATCTCTATTTTCTACATTTTTGAAAGAAACGTCTATTTCTTTCAAGTGTTGTTAAAAGGCTGTTTTTTCTCTGATACAGTTGATAAATACGTTCCTCCTATAATGACCAGTAAAAAAAATATGTTGAACAAAACCAATCTTCTTGAAAAGAATGGACTAAGGACATGAAGAACAATCAAACCATGTTCTAAGGTTCTACCTGCTATCCAGTAAAAGCTGTCTTTTCTTGCTTGCTGCCTGAAACAAGCAGGCCAGTGTCAGGAATGTGTTGAAAATATCCTAGGGATTATAGCAACAAACTGCTTCTGGAGCTATGAAAGATTACTCTAGGAAGAAGGTTAATGTCTGTGGTAAGTTATAATGAAGATTGGTGTAATGTAGTAAATAAGACTGAACAGGAGCAGTGTGAGCAATATTGAGATGTATTTGGTCTGAAGAGCCTTTAAAATGGGATGGTACTTAAAAGTGTAACATGAGTTTCAAATTACAAAGCACTTGCATTACCATTCTCACTAGTGCCCTCAGTTCTGCTGCGCCCCTCAGACTCGGTGCAGAACTGTTATGTAGGCTCTGTGGGTAGGTCTGATCCCTCCTACTTGCTGCTGTGCAGCTCCTATTGACTTTGGTGGGAACTCTCTCTTGAGAAGACTTGCAGAATCCAGCTGTATAATTGAATCCATCTACTCCCCTGTGAAAAGCTCCCATCCAATGCTCAGTCATCACGAAAACTTCTCAAAACAAATTGACTACAAGAAGAAACAGCTGAGAGACCACCCAAAGCACTAGAACCAAATTAAGCATTAGCCCTTTTTCGTCAACTTGTGTCCACTCTCTCACATCTAGAAACAGGGGGGAAAAGGACATAGTTGTTCCTAATTGCTAGGCATCTTCTGTAATTACAGACTTAGAAGAAAAAATTGTTAAATTCAAATCGTTGAAAAGCTGGTCTGTAGCAGCCAATCCCGTGCAAAGGGCTCCCCTTGTCTTGTTGCTCCACAGCAATTCGATCTTCGCTTAATCTGTTCTAACAAAGCAGTCACATTGCAGCAGAGCTTGTTGTTGTCAGTGTTGGATTGTTCCCACATGTTCTGTCTAACATCTGCTTAGTGTTTGAAGCCAATCTTTCCCCTTTCTCTGTAGGCATTCAGAGCCATTTATTTCATAAGCCAATGTCAAGATGAATGACAGGAAATTAAAGTTGAATTATGTCTCTTTGGAAAAGCGTGCAGAACAATACATTACAGAAGAATGCTTCATTGAAGACACAGAAGTAAATGAAAGTAACTGCAGGTGGTCTGATCTATCGTTGGTGTTCCTGGCCGTGAGTTCCCGTTCCTGGAGGAAGGAAGGTGCCAGCTCTGAGCAGAAACACTTCAGCCTGGCCTGGTGAATGCTACACAGCTTTTTGATGCAGATAGCAGAGCTCAGATAACTCAGTGACTACAGGACTGTGGGTTTGTCATGGAGGTCTTTGAAACCCACCTAGCAGAAGTTTTGACAAGAACTCTCACACAAACAGATTTTAAATAGTTTTAAGTTGTCATTGATTCATCTCCTTTGGTGCTGTTTGGCAGCAAGCTTGGATGCTCCAGGGCTCTTTATTGGGGAACAGAGGGAAAATGTGGCTGACCTTCCAGTCAGACAGATGAGACAGCAGGAGAGCATTGAGAGGTTATAAACTGTTGTTTTCAAGTGCTTCTGCTGAGCAGTTAGCCATACTTGCTGAAGTGATGCTTGAGGAATGCCTTCAGAGAGGTGCCTGACTTTCCTCTTCACCTTGAGCCACCCCTAGCTGGGCTGTAGCTGTGTTTTATGGTGTGAACGTGCTGTGTGTGTGCAGCTGCTGGGAGCAGAGCTTTGGTAGCATACATACAGTGTTCTGAGAGCTTCTGGCTTCCCCTCAGCCAGCTGCATGCCTGTACAAGTGGAGCTGCACGAGTGCTTGCTGTTCTCTGTGCTGTGCCTATACAGAACCTGCTCTGCTTTTCTGGGGCAGAGAATGGCTGCAGAGGTGATGCGTGCTGTTTGGAGCACAGTGCAAATGGAGTTCAGGTTAACTTTTGCCAGCCCTTAGCTTGATTTATTGGTGGGGCTGAATTTAACTGTTGCCAGACCTTTTCACTTTCCACTTCTTTTCAATACTGTCGGGGAAAGCAGACCTCATCACAGAGTTGAAACTGTCCTCTTCATATATTGTGAGGAGGGTCAGTCTCCATGGATTTCTGAGACCTCCTTGTAGTCTGAGTGCCAAGATAGTGTGGGTTCAAGTAGGAATGTACCAAACTGCTCCCTTGGATTCTGTGAGCTTCTGAAAGCATAATGTGAATGGTAGGTACTCTCTGGTTGCTGAATACAGATAGTGAAGGTTTGATACAAATTAATTCCTACTTACATATTTTATGAAATGGGAAAAAGAAATTCTGGGTTGCGTGGAGTTTGGCAAAAGTGTGAAGGCTGCTAATAACTCATAGAAAGGCCATGTAGTGGAGCAGCATTGCTGAGAGTGGGAAAGCTTCCATACCCATTGGGTGCATCGAGATCCTTTGCTCTGCTGACGGTTTTATGAGGAATGCCAAAGAAGTGGGATGGCAGTGATTCACCTGGAAATGCTCCATCAACACCCTTCCCTGCTCCAAGCCCTCTAAAATACATCAGCTTGAACAACAGATGCCAGAAAATATTAGAAAGCCAATAGTGTAAGATATTTCTAGGAAGCCCTGACTTTGAGAGAAGTTTTACCTTGTGTGTGACTCTGTGCAATGGGTTTGTGGACATCTATGGTGAATAACATCCACGTGAAACGACAGTGAGTGTTCACTCCATTCAAACATAAGGAACTTATTTCATGTGAGTCAAATAGGCATTGCAACAAAATATACATACAGGAGGAATCTTGAGCTGGTTTTTTTTTTTTTTTGAAGTTATGGTGTTTTTAATAGCAGCATTGTGGTCTTTAAGCAAAATTATCAGTATAGAATTTTTTTTTTGTATTTCAGTGGGAAACCAAGTGTCACAAATGACAAAGCTGCTTTGTGAGGGGGTGGCTGGAGGTGCTGAGCCCCTGTGTGTGGCAGCTGAGAGCCGTGGGTCTGCGGTGTGCATTGCAGGGAGTGCCATAAACACTGTGTTTTTGGTTTCAGATTTAACTAATCAAGTCGAGACCACTGAGCACAAGCTGCAGAAGGTAACAGCTGAGATGGATCACTACAAAAAGCTGCTAATGTAAGGTTTCTGTTTGCTTGTTTGTTTTGCTGCTGTGCATAACACTGTTTTCAAAGAGAATTGCACCACTGCTTGTCAGGGTGGTTTGTGAAGGTGTTGACCAGCAGAAGATGCGTGTTATATTAATCAGCTTGTATTCCTAACCGAGTGAACATGTCTGCCTGTGGAAGCAGGGCTTGCCTTCCTCAGCTGTCTCATGGTGCAGCTCAATTTGGCTCTTCATTTAATGCTAAGCGTGGGATAAATTGTGTGAAACCCACACAACTTCTGGACTGTAAATGTGAATTTACTGCTGGTATTCCCCATGCACTGGTATGTTACTACAGTTTGTAATTTTACCGTGTTGCATGGTTAGAATATGAAGCCCAAATTAATATGGAGTAAAGAAAATGCCATCAAAGCCCTGTCAGGTCTCCAAGAGGGTCCTCACTGCACAACTGGTGGCCCCAGAGCATGGAAAGCAGCAGTGCCTGCAGCAGTGCCTGTGCTGAGGCTGCTGCCACTCCTGGCTGATGGGAGGCCACAAGGCTGAGGAAACAAGGAAAAATAGGAAATGCTTGTTAATGCTGTGGCACAGAGCATTCTGCTTCCGTCTCACTGCCCCGAGCAGCAGCCTGGGAGCCCAGGGTCCCCTCCAAGCAGCTGGTCTGTGCTTTGGCAGCACGTGGGGCTTGGTGGGAGCTGTCAGCACTTCTAAGGGCTGTGGGATTGGGGCTCTGAGTGCTTTCCTGCGTTGCAAGTCCACAGTGCAATTCAGAAATAACATCACCCTGCGTAGTACACTAGTGAAAATAAATGTTAGTTTCAGATGTGAAGCTGGAGGGCAATGCAAAAGTGCAATCAACCTCGAGACCAAATATTATCAGTTGTTTTCTATGTTTTCCTGAAATTCTAGGGAGGATTCTTTCATGATGCATACTTTCTGTTTTCAGTTCCTATATTCAGAGGGGCTGATCAAAACACGGTTGCAAATATTTGGAATGCTTAGCAACAAAATATTTTAATGATAATGCGAGTATTGAGCATGAAAAAAAAGACTTCTTGAACAGAGTTAAATAAACAGTACAGTGTTTCTCAGTGTAATATTAAAATTTCAATGTAATATGGGTGCAATTTAATAAAATGACATATTCTCTACTTGTTTGAGTACAAATAGGAGGCTTAACCATCGTTATTAGTTGGTGAAATGATGACAAAATTACAGGAAACCTTTGCATTTTCCTCTACCATATTAAATTGTTATCTGTTCCTTTGTATTCATAGCCCACCCAAAACATTCATTGGTGTTGCAAGATCACACTTCCTTGTTTGCAGCAATTAAATTTTTGTGATCCTGGTTAGGCTGAATTTACACTGCAAGAATGAATATGCTGCTGAAAAGTGTTAGCAAGAAGTAATGGAGTGTTTTATTTATCTGCCTTGTAACTAAACTAGACAGTGCAAGTTAGTGGATTAATAAAAGTGTTTGGGTCGTTGTGTGAGTAAAGGCTGTCATTGCTTTGGGCAAATACACTTTGTTTTTCATTTTCTTAGGGTGAAATCAGCAGAACTTGATGTGTGTCAAAATGAAATGAAAAAAATGAAACATGAAAATGGAATTTCTGAGTCAAGGTAAATGCTGAAGTTGTGTTTTAAAGCATGAATGTATTTATAAGCAAGGAGAGCAAAAATGTTATTTATGGCTTTAATGCAGCTGTTGTACTGCTTTATACTGTTATTCTTTTTCTATTTTCAGTTTCTATTTTTGTGTTCAAGTCACTAGATTTAACTTCATGAAGAACATAAACTTTTTTGTATAATATCTTCTTTCCCAGGTACAATTTACTTCCATCTGTTTAGTTTCTGTTTGTGATTGAGGATAACTCTGATGTTGCTTTTCATTTCCTCTGTAGACTTGCAAAAGAGCTCAAGGAAAAGGAAGAATCTCTACTGATTTGCCAACAAGTATGCAAACGTTTGCAGGAAGAGGTGGCTGAGAAGGAGAGGAAAGAAGGAGATCTGAGAAGAAGAACCAGTCAATCCGAAAGTGAACTGGAAACACTTAAAGCTCTTCTCACACAAACAGAGGAAGAGGTGGTGATGTTGAAGCAAGAAAGGTAACCAGAGCTGAGTCACCACAGATAATTGCTGTGTTCAGCCCAGGTTTTCTTCTTAGAAATCTGTAAATACAGTGTGTTCCTTCTCTGCCAGATCCTCACCTCTCCAACAGGTGCTGGAGCTTGGCTCTGCTACTGGGCAGACTGGGAGAGAGGCACTGTGCCCAGCTGTGGCCTGCCCTTGCCTTCAGTCATTGCCTGCACCTATAGGCAGAACTCTGACAGCGCTGAGCCCTTGTTCTGGAACTCTGGAATTCATTGGATGGACTTTAAAATTATTGCAGGATAGACAAAAAGCTGAGTAGAACAAAACATGCCTTTAAAAAGGGGAAAAAAGGGGGAAGAAAAGCCCAGCACACCAACCCTCTGCTATGCAACCCAGGGCAACCCAGCTCGAGTTTAATCAAAACACCTATTTATTGCTGTTGTTATAGCTGCTATTTGTTATATGAGGCTTGCAGAGAAAAAGCCCTGGAGTGTTCAAATTCCTGTGACTTATGTTATTAGCAACTTGCAAACAGTAACAATGCTATAAATACTACAATATGCCAGGTTTTTGGATGTGATCTACTATTCAGTGAAACGTGTGGACAACACCCCACCAATCTAATCTTATTCCAAAGGTTCTCAGCTATCAACAAAGCTAACCTTTTCCCTATAATTATTTTTCAGATGTGGAAAATGAAGCACTGAGCTACTGAGGCTCATTGTTTCCTGGAATGGTATCTGAGTGCCTTTCTTTTAGACCTCCACTTATCAACCTAAATCCACATTATTTTTATTTGCTTTGAGTATAATCTACATATTCATTTTATTCTGAACGTTCACAGGCTTGTCTCTGCTATTTGAAAGCGTCCTGCTAATACATTTTCACTTACTGATATATTAACTTATCTTTTATTGGCAAAATAGAGTGCTGCCTCCTGCTTGAAATGTGGCAGAATATTCTTTGTTTGACTTGAAAAATATGTTGGGAACAGTGGCTTTTGGAGAAGATAAGGATTTTCTGCGTTGGTGATGGTATACCAGGAGGCAGTAAGCTATTTTTATAGCTAAAGAGTTTGAATATGCTCTGTATGTGCATATGTAGTGCATGAAAAGATACTGTGTGTTAATTTGAGCATATTTTCCTTCTACTTAAAGCCCAGCGACGTGACTTGTTCCAGTTGGTACATTGCTGATAATGTAAGTTAGAAGGATTTGAACTCTCCAGGGCTTTTGCTCTACAAGCCTCACATAACAAACAGTAACTACAACAATAGCAACCACTTCACTTAGTGGTTTTAATTCAGAAGCTATTACACTTTTAAAAATTACTTGTAGTAATGCTCTGGGTTCGTCAACTACAACAATTTGTTTAGAATATTATAAAAGTTATTCAGTGTTCTTAATTTGACTTGAAAATTTAAAAAATAGTTGAGGCTTGCATGTATGTATGCAGAAGAATGATTAACTGCAGTATTTTCTTCAACATATAACATTCATTAAATGTGTGACAGCAGCATGCAAATGCTAAGTAGTGATTACTGTTGTGCCTCTGGGCTTACTGCACAGAATACTAAACAAAGAAAAAGAGGAGCCCTTGCCACAAAGGACTTAATTGCAAGAAAATGGCACACCACCAATCTGGGCAGAGCACATATTTACATACAAGTTTTTGTGGTTTCTAGGGAGTTAATGCTGATTTCTCATCAGAACAGAACAGAACAGCTGCAGGAAACATTAAGGCAGAAGATGCGGAATGAAGATAACTGGAGGGAGAAGGTAATGCTGGCTGTGTAGTTGGCACAATTTCAGTGTCTTTTTTTTTCAGTCCTAGTCATCTGTCACGAACCTGCACAGTCAGCCAGATGCCTGCCTCCTTAAATGCAAACATGTCAGCAGGTCCTTTCTGCACAATAGGTGATCTCTCTATGTAGGCTGGATCTGAATGTAAGAAATATTTAGTGTAAGTGTTTGTGGTCTTGGGCCAGATTTGGTCCAGACTTTCCAACTGTTGGGTATTAGTGCAGAACCTGTGTCGCCATTGAGATCCCAGGTGCAAACTCCCAGGGGTGAACACCAACAGTCCACCCCAGCTGTGTGCCACAGCCACCTGCAAACCCTGATCTGCAGGAGTGCGTGTTGCTGGGGATTTCTGTCCAGACCAATCTGCTTAGAAAAATGTGTGGAAGGTGTTTCACAGTAAAACCAAGCATGTGCACTCTTGATGAGGTGGGGAGAACACAGAGCCTTCCTACTTGCAGGTGAGCTGAACCAAAACTGAAGGTATAGGTCTGTAAAACAGATCTATGTGTTGGGATGAGAGCTGGTAGCCTCGAGACACTGGGAAGGTTCAGCTCAGACAATTAGGGTAAGAAACGTGGAGATGCTGCACTTGCAGACATGGGTTGGTGGGCATGGTGGGATAGCTTGGTTGGACTTGATGGTCTTAGAGGTCTTTTCCAGCCGTAATGATTCTATGCAGTAATAAGCAGGTGAGAAAAATGTACTTTACTTTACTTGCCTTGCATTCAAATCAGAGCAACAGATCAGGAGTGCAAGCAGAAATGCCTCTTGATGGGTATCTTCTTACTGGAAGTTTATCACAAGCCTAGCCTTGTCTTCAGTGAGTATTACTGTGCTCTGCATGCCTGAGTTGTCATTTCTCAGTCATCTTTTATGTGTGCTTGGGTTAGAGGTCTTCTGTCAAAAAATATTCTCCACTGATTTAAAAAATAGATACGTGTGGCCACAGTGTGTGATGGCAGATGGTTTCCCAGCTGTGTGCAGAGCACCGTGCTAACCTAGCTGCAGTGTCAGGGTCTCACATGGGATGGATCAGCTGCTTACCACGGGCAGCTGTGAGCATGTTGGCTTTGGGGTAACCTGCCACCTTTCCAAAAAAGCAATAGAAGAAATTGCTTGAAGAAACTGTGAAGGAAAAATGCACAAATACTATTGAACAACAATTCACATTTCTGTTTTAAGCCTTACATAATTGGTAGCTAAAATAAATGTATTTGTGTGTGTGTGTGCAGTATGTGATAAGTGTCTGAAAGCTTTATTTAGTCTCAAGAAAATTTTTGGACTACCAGCAATTAAGATCTGTTACACCTCTTTAAAAAGTTCTTACCTTCTCCGTGGCAGGATATAATTTTAGAATGAGGTCACACTGTCTGCATAATCACAACCTATTGTTCAACTTGACATTAGTACAAGATAAAGGCTGCTGCTGGTGGGAGAGAGCAATTACATCTTTGGTATCACAGCCATTAAAATGCAGTGAGTGCCAAGTGCTCTAAAGATGTTCTCATCAGACAGAAGTCAGAAGTGTGGCAGAGTTATCATTCCTTGGGTCAGGGTGCCATTGCACACAGTTCAGTGTGTTCCAGTCTTGTATTTTAAATACAGATGAACTTTGAATTGTAATGGGTAAAAAAAAAAAAAAATGTTTTATGAAAAACAGGGAAATGGATGTAAATGTTTGTGAGGTTTTTTATAAGTGGTTAATGAGGAGCCCAGAAGTAGCTTGAAAGCAATTAGTAGTCATTCCCTGCAGATGAGCTGCCATTTGTTTTCCTGCTGTGGTTATCAGCTGTACTATCAAGTATTAAGTATGAAAAGTGCCTGTGTAAGTTTCCAAATGAGTCCATTTTCCATACCATGCATATTGCTCTACTCTTAGTACTTCAGTAGCCTCTGACATACGACCTGCTTTGATAGCAATATGTACTGTTGTATTTATCACTGCCGTTAGAGTCCAAACTCCCATACAGTAATGTAGGAGGTACATCTGTATGTATTATAGCAGCAGTGCTCAGTTCTGAGGTCTCACAGCTGTAAGCCAGGTCTCTGAGTGCCTGCCCCATGCCATGGTTGGGCAGATTCTGATGTTCAAAATAATGACAATATTACAGTTTATCTTTTCCCCAAAAAGCGTGAGGGGAATTTGTTACGCTTCTGATCATAATTGCTGTAGGAAATTAGATGGTTATAATTAAGCTCATTTTGAGCTTTTAATAATTTTAAGTAATTAGGATAGCTCCGTGCTTGTTTAATGTGCCTTTTGAATTCCTTACATGCTGCAATTGAGTCCATTAGAATTCAGCCTGCAGAAATACAGTGTTGGCATTCGGGCTTTGGAGCTGGGGACGTTCTTGGATGTGCTCCCTCCCCACCTTCCCCAGGTTCACTGGGAGGCAACAGGCACTTGTCCTCTAGGTGGAGATGGATCTGGCCAAAGGTGAAGCACGGCACAAAGAAGCAATTCTCAAAGTCAGAGAAGAAGCCAGAGTGGAACTGGACTCTGAAAGACAAAAGCAGCAAGAACTAATCACAAAATACCAGAGAGATCAGGAAGAGCTCCAGAAGAAGGTGTGTAATGCTTGAGAGAAATGTTGTGTGGCAGTAGGTGATGTGAACTTTGGAAAGCAGTACGTGAAGGAATAAAATCTGTGTGCAGTCCTGCATCTTGAAGATGCAATGATTTTTCCAATCTCAGTCTGCAGCATCCGATGGAAAGTCTGGAAAACAGAACGGGTTCATATGTACCAAGTGTAGCTGTGGAAGTTCTTGCTTTCCTCAGATTTTCTCTCTCCATGGTTTATCTATGCCCACAGACTGCAATTGCTAATTATGATTAAACTAATGGTGTCAGATTTGAAAGCCTTTGGGCTGTTAGAGACCATGATGGGTTGTCACAGAGCCATCTGCACTGCTTCTTCCCTTCCCATCAACCCGTCACTGGTGGATTAAGGTCAGCATAGCAGCCCAGATCTAGAGGTTTTGAACTTTTTTTACTTAGAAATTGAAAATGTGCCTATAACCTTAGCTTTTAGAGTGTCTCAAAAGGTTTGACATAGAAAAGTCAAAGAAATGTGATGAAAATACATTGTTGTTTTAAATTCATGACATCATACTATTTTTAATGAGCTGAAAATAACAATTTATCACAGGTTGTTTTTTGTTTTTTTTCTGTCTCTGAAGACTTGTGTGCTTGGATTTGTGATTTTTCTTGAAGGTTTTGTTTGATACTTCATTTTATCTATCTAAGGATAAACACTGAATTTAGACTAATACAGTATTTGTCATGCAGATACCTGAATTGATATCCAGTGCCACCAACAGCTTACGGATGGAGGCAGAAATTCTTGAAAAGAAGCTACAAGATGTCCAGATCGAACTTGCAGAGAAAGATCAAGAGAAAGAAAAAGAAATTCAGAGCCTTAAAAGGCTGGTCACTGAACTTGAATTTCAGCTGAAAGTGGAACAGAACAATAACGAATCATTACTGGGTAATCTGAGGAAAGAAATTAAACACAAGTCAGATGAACTGGAAGAATTAACCCAGGAGAGGACGCAGCTGATTCACAGTTTGAGTCAAGTGCAAGAGGAGGTAAGAACGTGGCCAAGGAAGTGCCTTCCATGCTCTTTCTGCTTTGAGACACATGATTGCAGGAATCATTCGAAGAATGCTTATTTCAGATCTTGGTCTGTGCTGTTGTAAGAGAAAAATATCTTTAAAATTAGAATCATAGAATCCTAGAATGGCCTGGGTTGCAAAGGAGCACAGTGCTCATCCAGCTCCAGCCCCCTGCTGTGTGCAGGTCACCAACCAGCAGCCCAGGCTGCCCAGAGCCACATCCAGCTTGGCCTTGAATGCCTGCAGGGATGGGGCATCCACAGCCTCCTTGGGCAGCCTGTGCCAGTGCCTCACCACCCTCTGGGTGAAAACATTCCTCAGTTTAAAACCATCCCCCTTGTCCTATCACAATCCACCCTTGTAAATAGCTGTTCCCCCCTGTTTTTATGCTCCCTTCAAGTATTGGAAGGCCACAGTGAAGTCCAATATTTCCTAAATAAGTAAGAAAAATCTTCATGCAGTCCATAAGAATGAGTGGATGCTGCCCTGTACCACATGGTAGGGTGCCTCTGTGTGGGGCAGAGGTTCCTCTTCTGTGGTGGGAGCACATTGCCCACATCATGCTGTGCTAACGGGCCTTTGTCCCACTTGTCACAAGTAAACCTTCTTTCTGTAGCACAGGAATGCATACAAGTGAATCATTATATGAAGAGAAATGTGACTGCTACATATTCTTACCACAAGCATTTGCTGAATGTTTGGAATATGATGGGAAGGGTGGGGAGAGAGCCATACTGCTGCATGAGAAACGTGAAAACAGTGAAGTCAGGGGCTGCAGATAAGATTAGACTGGAATGTCCAAAGTAATTAGTGGCAGGAAAAAAAAAATGGATAAACAATGAAAATGAAACTTCAAAATGAATTAGGTCTTGGTTTGGGAGCACTGTGTTCGTGGATTACAGAGATGCTGGCAGCTGCTCTGTCCTGTAGCTGGGGGAAGGGCTCACAGCGAGCACTGAGCGTTGTTCAAGGATCTTCCTTCTCTGTGCCTGCTGCCATAACCATGGGCAGAGCATTGCAGACACTCGTTTGTTCTCTCCTGGGTGTGGTGTGTGGTCAGACTCGTGCAGCTCAGGCTTTCAGCACTGGAGGTTTACTCAAAACGTTTGTGCAGGTGTTGAGGCTGAGAATGTTCTCTTTCTGAGCTGCTCATCGTTGCTCCGTGTCCTGGTAGCTCACCTTCCATTGTCCTGCTCTGTTCAGTCAGCAGCAACTGCTTCCTTAGCAGAGCAAAATTAGGGAAGTGACCGTTTTCTGTTTGCATCAGTGCAGTCAGTGCTTCTGACTTGTGTGAATCGGCTTAGTCATGTTGCTCTTTGTTGTTCATTGACTTTTGATTTCAACTGGAAACCAGAAAAGTCAGCGTCACAAGTAAGTTCTGTGTCATAGACCAGCCTGGGGGCTTGTCTAACGCTTGTCTGCTCAAGGACCACTGCTGGTTGATTATCATTTGGGTGTTGGTAATCACAGTGAAAAGTTCATGAAAAATACTAGGTGGATACTCATTTATCTCAGTCATCTGGGAACTAATGATCAGTCACCAAAATAGGCCGTTCACCACTGCTGAAATACTGGAGGCATCTTATTGCAGTGCAGTGCCATAGCAGTGCTTGGACCCTGTGCCTCGCTGCTTCCAGGAGCAGAGTTCCTGGCTTCCCTGTGCTTGGAGGGTGGGCAGGAGACCAGGAGGAGCTCCTCAGGACTTACCTCATATTTTCCACTGTCTCCCGAGATAAGGACGTGTGTGTAAATACCAACGTATGTCATCAGAGCAACTTCCAGAGAAAACAAAGTGCTAGGAAGCACTGCAGGCTTTCCGTGCCTCAGTGCCCTGCAGGCACCCTGCCTCGAACCGATGGAATTTAACAGACGCGTGCTTTCGCTAATGGCATTTTGCAGAGTGAGGGTTTGTTTCTGTTTGCAGAACACTCTTCTCCAGGAAACGGTGCGCAGAGAGTGCGAGGAACGCTATGAGCTGACTGCAGCTTTGACTCAAGCCAGGGAACAAGTGCTGCAACTCAGAAAGCTCAGTGGAAACTTGCCGTTATCGCCGCGTTCCCTGGCTCGGGGCAGCCTAACCTCCTCCCCTGCCCTGCGTGCTGATTACGGGCGCAGCAGCCGCCCCGGCCCAGGGGGGGCCGTCCATCCCTCCGGGCAGGTCGGTATTCCCCGAGCTGTGCAGGCACCCGCTGGCAGGCCCAGCAGCGGGACTTTGCCGGCTCTCAGAGGCCGGGAGAGCGCGGCCAGGAGAAGGCAGCGGAGCCAACTGTGACACGTGGGGGAGCCCTGCGGTGTCAGCCGTGGGCCCTGGGCCTCAGGTGTTGGTGATGAACTTGGTGCGATTCTACAGCTGAGGATGAAGTTACGTCCTGAGATGTTTTTGATGCAATAATGTTTATTTGTCCGTTGCGCATCAGTGTAATTAAATGCTATCTACGTTCCGAGATGGGAAAAGAATGAAAAAATAATTGCCTCTCAAAAAGGTGCACGTATTCGAGAAGTGTAATTAAAATAATTACCAACTTCAAAGGCTGTTCTCCCTAAAGCACTTTGTTGGAATTTTCCCGTTTTGTATGTTGTGTTGTCCCTTGTAACTTCACTGTGTGTTTCTGGTGTAAAAATGCAATTTGTTTGGTTAGAACCAGATTTATGCCATCGTTTCATGGAGCAGCGTGCAGCCATTGCTGGGCAGCCTCCCCCAGACACTGCAGCCATCTTCCCACCAGTGCCAGCACGGACCTGAGCTACTCAGCTGGGGAGAAGTTGGAAGGGAGCATCCTGGGGATTGTCAGAGCAGCAAGATCACTGAGGCTGCCTGCTCCTAGTTGGGTTTTAGGACTGGGCTCTTTCTGCATTTGGAAACGTGGAGTTGCTGCTTTGCAGGATGCTTGTAAGCACAACTACGTTTGTACTTGCACCATGAACCTTGACTATATCATTTGTGAGTGGTGAGGTGGCCCTGTGTGTGCCAAAGTGACCACGTGTCACTGTGGTGCTGGAGTAAGTTAGAATTGCTTTGCTGAATGCAGTGGCATAGCAGGGAATACATGTCACATAATAAAGTTAGTGGGAGAAGCAACCATTACAGATTTGGCATCCTGGGCTCGATTTTGAGGTGCACTTTGTCTTACTCAGCTTCTGTTCCCACCGAACCTTTACTGATCCTTTCCATTACTGAACCTTAACCTCAGTGGTAGCAGAGTGCATCCAAAAGCTCAGAAATCCCCTACTCTCAAATTCAGAAAGCAGCAGGAATTCAGTGGCAACAATCAATCGTAGGCACAGCGGAGATACCTGGAAGCAAAGTCACAGGTGAGTGGCTTTGGTCACTACTTTGTGTTTTGTTTTGTTTTGTTTTTTTTCTTAAAGGTGTTTAAAAAATGGCAGTCTGAAAGATGTGGAAGTAATTCCACTGAAACACAGCTGCATGAAATCCGTTTTTCAGCCATTCCACAGAGGCACAAAGAAAGATTGGGTGTTCCCTTCTGAGCTTGCTGAGAATGATTGATTTTATTGTTGTTGCTTAGGAGAAATCCTGACTTCTTTGAGCCTGAAAACTGTTCCTCTGTTACCCACCTGCAGCCTTCCTGTGCTGAAGGAGCAGACCTTCGTTGAGGCAGCTCTTAAAATGGTGAGTTCCAGAGCACTGGTGTGTCAATCCTAAATAAAACTCTGAGATGAACTTCAATTTTATTTTACTGACTTAGAGAACATTTAAATTATGCAGTACATTAATTTTTATTTTACTTGCTCAGACCACTGTGGAACAGACATGAGGGTGAACGCTTGTGACAGTTGATATAATAGAGAGTTTAATGCTGGGTTTTTTGTACTGAAGAAGTGAGATGCATGCAGTAATGCCTCTGTGCTTAAAGCAGAGAGCAGAGCTGGGCTGGCAGCCTCCCTGGCTCTGTTCCTGTGCACAGAATGCCCAGCTCTGCATGGTGCTGGCCCATCTTGTCCAGTGCTGCAGGGCTGAGAGCTGGGCTCCTGGCTGCTGGTTGTGTCCTGCAACACCTCCCTAAGGAAGGCTGTGCGTTCATAAATAGTGGGAAAGGAGTAGCATGTGGAATAAAGAGAGCAGTCACAGAAATAATGTTTGTAGCATGAGTGGAAGCATAAATCATGAACCCCCACTGAGTCAGGAGCCAAGACTTCCCTCATTCCCACAGCTTGCAGAAACCCAGAGCTCAGGCTGCTAAGCAATAACCAAAGTGGATTAATATCAGGAAACCTTGTTCACCAGCTTTTGCAAAGTAACCTCACAAAGTCAAGGAAAGTTTACAAAGCATTTCTCGCAGTGGGGTGAAGCAGAGCAGCAGAGTGCCATGGAGAAGGCAGGCAGCTAATTCCCTCCCCACATTTCAGGAAGTGCAGCTTCCTGGAGGCAGTGCGTTTTGTAGAAGCCGTGTCATTTATGAATGGGTTTTTCTTACGCTGGACCTTGCACTCTAGGACTCACGGCACCAGGGAATACTGGAAACCACAAAGTTGGAACAAATCAGCCTCTGTGGCTCCTGAGCTGCCTGCAGGAAGCAGCCATCCTCTCACTGCTCAAGGTTGCAGGAAAGTGGCCTGTGGCTGTTTGACTCGTGCAAAGGCTGCTCCGTTGTTCCTTGGCAGAGCTGATGTTGTTGCCTGGTTGGGAGTGGAATCCTGAATCTATCCTTACAGCACTGACTGAGTTAGTAGCTGCTGTGCTGCATAGCAGGATAGGAGGCCAGGGTGTGCAGCAGGGTTGGGAGCAGAGCTCAGAGCAACACCTGGCAGTGCAGCCCAGGGCTAGCACGTGGGGTGGTTCTGCAAAGGAAGAAAGCAGACTGAGGAAAAAATCATTGTGGTGTCGTAGCAGCCTTGAAAGTGTGTGGAAATAGCTGGACCCAGTGCCATAGGTCAGCAAAATGTATTCATCAGAAGGAAATGCAAGCAGGCATTTGTTTGAAGAAGTGGTTGTGCTGTGCGATGTTCTTCACTTTGAATTCTTGTTTGGGCTCCTGGTGTTTTATAGTTCACTTTACAGCCTGCAGCGTGCTGCAGAAAGCACTGCCTGCCCGTAATGCAAAAGGAAAAGTGTAAGAATGGAATCAGGGAAATTTCCTGTCTCAAACAAAAGCTGCGTGTCTTTATTTTCAGTTGTTTAAAAACTTATTTACAGAATGAAAAGTTGATGTGAGGTTGTGTCTTTAATTGCTGTTGTTATTTGAGTTTATTCTGCTAATGAAAGGATAAACCATATGCAAGTGCAGTGCTGTGAAGTAATGGAATCAAACATGCTTAGCACTTATGTGGCTTTTTTCATCCTCAAAGCATAGTACAAAATTAATTTTGATAGGATAATAAAAAGGATGCTGTAAAAGATTAATGCTGAAGAGGTTTTAACACCGGAAATACAATTTGTGTGATGGAAAACATGGGCATCTGGCATTGCACTGTGAACTGTTCCCAGATAATGAAAAGAAACCGCTTCCGAGCAAGTGTGGCCAGATCCAGCAGGGTGTTTTTGCTCCTCTCTATCTCAAGAGACACCTCCTATCTTCTGACAGGAGCGAGCCACAAATCTTCCCAAGCTGCAGTTTTCCATCTGGAACCTTGAATTGCTGCTGAGTTAAGGTCAGTGCTGGGATGTGGCTGTGCTGCTTGCCAGTAAGCCAAGGGACGACGGCTGGGGAGCCTGCAGAAGTAACACTTATTTCTGTAACGTGTGGCTGGATCTCACTGCAGCCATTCAGCTAAACCCAGTCCAATTCCATCAGTTCTTCTGGCAAAAGCAAGAATGTGTGGTTAGAAGTTAACTTACAATACACAGATCATACCAGCTGGCTGTGATTTGCCTTACACTAACAGTCCTACAGTCCTTCACAATGTGCTTCACGTGGAAAAGTTAGGAAAATACCAATTAGAGGTGCCTGGCAGAGAGGAGCTTGGGGTGAGCAGCGTGCTGCAGTGCAGTGAGCAATGCAGGCTGTGATGGGTGCACATCGTGCTGGGAAAATGATGCCATTGTCAGACTTTGTAAGCCATGGGTTGTGTTGCATGCACTGTATTTGTTCTTTGCCTTCGTACTGAAGGCCTTCACTGTACCTCCCCCTGTGTGTGGCAGGCTTTGTGCTGTTGCCTTGTCACACCACGTGCTTTGCTCCTTGCACTGCAGGCCAAGTAAGTGACAGGTTGAAATTCAGCCCTGACCTATGTGCAGGGCAGCTTTCAAACAGGGCAAATGCTGAGCAACAAAATTTGTGCGTCTGGTCCCTGTGCAGCATTTGGTCTGCTTGTGAAATAGCAGGGATCGTGAACACGACATGCTGATCAGATGTCTGCTCTGTGTTCTCTGCCATGCACTCAGTAGAATTCAGAACCAAATGGATGTGTTGATGCAGGAGGTTCTGGATATGAAGCCTGTCTGAAGGCACGAGGAAGTGGCACCAGCTCAGGTCTGAGCACTCACTCCAAGCTGCAGCACGGCCTCAGGTGAGCTGTCACCTTTTGGGAGCAGTGCCAGGTCGCAGCGTGGAGACTCTTCTTTGCTCCTGTGCTGCACTTGTGCTTTGAACATGGTGTTGAGCACTGCCAGCTGCTTTGGAAGCGGTGTAGATTTCAGTATCTCCCCAGAATCCATTAATTTCTGAATGTCAGGAACTTAAACGATGACACAGATCCATTTTAGCCTGTAAAACCTGTCATTGCTGGTTCCTCAATCCCATAAATGTACAGGAACTGGTTCCTTTAGAGGAACCTGTTATTTCCAAACATTCATTGCGTTTGAAATTTCCTGTTTGCACACTACTGAATGCTAATTTGTTAGGGTTGCTTTTATTCCAGTTCTGACAGAGATTCGGATTGGCAGCAGTGACAGTTTGGAATCCAGGCGGCGTGACGAGCAGAAGGCACAGCTGCATGCAGCAGACTTGGAGCATTTCACTTTCCATTTCTTGCTGGCTGCAGGGTGTGGTGGGCTGTGTGCTGCTGCTCAGCATTCAGAGGAGCTCACAATGGGAGCATCAGTGCCTGACTACGGTGGATGCAAAGAAACCACCTGCGATCTGAGGCGTGTGGAAGGTCTGTAATGATGCAGACAACCTCTGAACAAAGTACAGAAGGAGACAGTGAAGCATGTCGGTCACAAGATGGGGCAGGGGTGCACTTTTAAGGGGTTTCTTCAGGTCGATTGTGGAAGCAGCTTGCTCTCAGCACAGCTACAACCATGGACAACTTGAGGGCCACTGCCTTTTGCTGAAATGGCATGAGAGGGAGCTGGAGCTGTCTCTGCTTTAGAATCACAGATTCATTAAGGTTGGAAAAGACCTCAGAGATCCCCAGCCCACCATGCACAGGGCCCACATCCCTCCGTGCCATATCCTCACAGTTTGGACCCCACTGCTCCCTGAGCAGCTGTACCAGTGTCTGACCACTCTTTCAGAGAAGAAATTTTTCCTGATTTCCAACCTGAAGCTCCCTTGGCACAACTTGTAGCTGTTGCCTCTTGTCCCGTGTAGTTTTCTATTTTTTTGGCTTACTGTAGCCTTTGTGCTGTTTGGTGACTTTGGGCAATATTCTTAGCAGCCGTTTCAATCTGAGTGCCATCAGGTGACTGGTACCTTCAGCATAGATTTCACATGCAAAATGATATTTCTCAAAGCCTCTCTGTGAAAGCCAGGGTGCCTGTCCTGTCCCTGTTGTGCATCCTGCCAAACCTTGTGCACTGAAACTGTGGGCTGGCTCTCAGTTCCACATTTCTGATGGCTCAATATGCCCTTCTGCTTGAAGCTGGCTGAGGACACCTGGGCAGATGAGAGCAAGAGGAGCACGGAGCATGCTGGCCCTTTTCCACATGGGAGCAGTTACTTATGGTAAATCTGGGAGACGTGGCTTTTTTATGGCAAAGGTAAGAGTAGAACGTGTTCAAAGCCAAGGTCCACACTTCCTGTCCCTTGCCCTATCCCCTCCTGCTGCTTCCTCAGATGCAGCTTTCCTAGCAGCTCACCCCACCCCCATCATTTCAGGGCCAAAGTGGAGGCTTTGGGCTGGAGGAAGCATGGAGACCCAAATCTGAAATTGGGTGGCCCCTTTCTCAGCAGCATGGCGTTGTCCTATGGGATGGGATGTTGATGGGATGGCTCAGTTTTGGTGGGTGTCGAGCACTTGTGGTCAGCAGCAGCCACAGCCACTTCTGCTGTAGTTTTCATTCACTGAAGGAATAAACAGCAGAGAAAGTGTGGAATAGTGTGGGGTGGTCCTGGCTGGGAGTCGTGGGGTGATGACATTTAGCAGAGGAAAGTTTCAGCACAGCGCAAAGGAAAATGTCCTGAGGCTGTGCTGGCCCTCAGGGGGATGGGAAGAGCCCCATGGCCTGAGTCACGGGGGTGGGCAGGAAAGAGCCATGGAAAATGGGCAGTCAGGAGCAGCCCTGCTGGCAGCAGCCTGTGACCTACATGGGATTTTCCGACTCCCAATTTATGTGAAGTGGAAAGTGATTTATTTTGCTTAACTTTGCTTTCCTCTGATGAATAGTACCTAGAGGGGAGGGAGGTGCAGAGCTTGGGGTAAGGAGCAGGAGCAGCACTTCCCCATTGCTGCTGGTTCGGGCTGGGGGTCACATCTCTGTCCTGCCCACATGTCCCTGCAGTGGCACTGCTTGCATATCCCTGGGAAACGGGACAACCCAGGTGGTGCAGGGGTGCCTCTCCTACCTCAAGAGTTGCTGCTTTTTCTCCATACCCAGGTCAGCTGAGAGGCACTGAGTCGGCAGCACGGTGTGGGGATGGAGATACCCCCAGAAGGGTGCTTGGAAAGTCCTGCAAATCCGCCAGAACTGCACGTGATGAAGGATAAAGATGCACAAAGTGCTGAGGAGGGCGGGCTGCCTCTCCTCACAGGAATCCGAGACTGATGCTGCTTTCTGAGCGCTGCCTGTTGTGAATCACTGGCTTTGATGGGAATCCATTTAGGCATCCATTTCTGCAGCTGTTTCCTGTGTGTGTGGAGCATTGTGTGAGCTGTAGGAGTGTTTCAAGTTACCAGGACAGGGTGGTCACTTTAATCATCGTGAAGATCTGAACAAAGAACCACATGTGCATTTTGGGAAGAGTACCTCAAAAAAGGAACACCAGCAACCCCCAGAAGTGTGCAGAAAGAGGTCAGATGGGGGGGGGTGATTTATGGCCGCTGTGGGTGTAACCAAGTAGCAGCATTGCCTCACTGCTTTTATAGGTTGCTGGTTGCCAACTTAATTATGTTTGCTGATGTCTTTTTTGGGTTTTGTTTTTGTAGATTCCTGCTAAAAATAGCAGCAGCACCTCCTCGCTGCTGGAGCTCAGAGGGGACTGTAATTCATATGCTAAAGCAACACAGGGATGGCTGGGCTTTGTAATTCCTGTGCTATAAAGCGAAAGAAGCAAAAGTTGCATCTGAAGAGCCCACAGAAAATCAAGAGGGTGAGGATATTCCACTCCTGCTGTGCTCCTCATGGAAGGAAGCACCACTGTACCAGGGGATGGCACTGAGGATTCTGTTGGCACACACAGCACACCTAGCAGGTATGCAGCTGTCCTGGGGGACCACGGCCCTGGTGCTTACAGTGAGATGCTTTCTCACCCTTTATCTTTGCTTCTGTTTAGGTGCTGTGGAATTACTTGCACTCCTTCCCTTGCTCCATCACACTAGCAGCTGCTGCTTTTTCATGTTGTCACACCATGTCACTAAAAGCAGCCCTGGCCCCACTCATGCTGCTTTACTCCATCCTCTTTTCAGCCTGGTTACTGTGGTGGGGATCCAAGCTGAGCTCTGCCTCCTGGAGAGATCTCGCTTGTGTCCTGCTGCTGGGTTTTGCCATTGAAGGAGGGAAAAGGTCACACACCTGGATTTGGGTGCTCTATTTGGATTTGCTGTTGGTGTCTCCCTTCATCTGCCTTCCCTGGTACCTTACCTGGGTGAGGTTTCAGAAATAGAGCCACTGCTGGCTGTGGGGCACAGCTGGGACCTGCTCTGAACCCCCTCATGCAGGATGGGTGCTCCATTGCCAGCACTGCTGTGCTGGGCTGTGATCTGGGCTGTGTTCAGGGCTCTGCCGTGTTGGGAGCCCATGTGAGCGTAAAACAACACCCAGCCCCAAGCTGTGTTGTGTCAGCTCATGTAACCTGACAGATCTCCTCAAATAAGAACCATATGGTAGAGATAACATCTTTCTTGCTTGCGGTTTCCTTGATGGCAAACTACTGTGCTATAACCCCCGAGTGTCCAGTTCAGTTATAAACTCACCACAGATGGAAACTGGAAATAGAATGGAGAGCTGGTTTGGGTCTGGCAGGGGCTGGGAGGGATGCAGTGGCACGCAGGCTGTCGCACTCTCTGGATGCAGCAGCATGACCTGCCTGGGCTTGGAAGTGATGTTTTGACCAGCAGTCCCTCATTAAATCATTCTCCCCACCCTGCCTACCCAAAGCTGTTTTTTGGCTATGGAACTGTGCCCTATGCCCTCCTCGAACTCAGGTGGAAGCACGAGGTGCCATTCCCCTTGGGAAGTGGCAGCCTTTCCAGCACGCAGGAGCCACGTGCTAGAAGGGGCAGCTGAGAGCTTGGAGCAGCCCCAGGCTGCTTCTGCAACCCCGGGGCAGCATCTGATCCTGTGGGGCTTAAAGTGACCCCCAGCTACTGCCTGCTGCTCAGAGCAGCTTCAGGTTGGGCAGCACTGTGCCTTGTGGCAGCGCCCTGCATGCACGGAGTGCTGCATGAGTGTATGCATGCACAGGCTGCTCACGTCTGCTTTGCAACACTTCCACCTACAGAATAAAACCCAGAATGGCAGCAGAGCAGCTGATGGCCCTGTGAGCAGCTCAGCCTTAACAAGGAGTTTTGTTTTTGGGGACAAAAATGGTACGCTTTTGGCAATTTTTTTCTTACCATTGGAATGTAAAGATTTTTTTTTCCCACAACAGCTTTTTTTTTAATGTTACTGCTTTCCAAAGACCCTGCTGGTTCACAGCCAGGCAGGAGCTGGGAAGGGGAAGCTGCTTCCTTCACAGAAGTGTTTTTTCCTCGGCAGGGTGCAGCCACCGGAGCCCCGCAGTGATAATGCGAGCCATGGGCACGGGCTGGGAGTGCAGCATGACCCCGTGGGAACTTCCTGAGGGAAAGCAAGTTTGAGGCAGGGCAGTGCACCTCCCTGCACTCACAGTGCCCTCACAGCAGCAGCTGCACAGAAGCACTCTGCATTTCCCAAGGAGAGGCCCTCAAGGCAGCACCCTGTGCTTAGCCCGCGATGCTGGCAGCTGTTTCCCTGTGCGTGAGCTCCTCCCTGCCGGCCCCATCCCAGCACCTCCATCTGTTGGGCCGCAGCCTTTGCCTGGTCTCCTCTTGCTCTGAATTGCAGCCTCTGATTGCACAGCTTTATGCTCTTGCAGCACTTTGCTGTTGGAACAATTTCTTGCCAGAAGCACAGCACCGTGTGCCTTCCTGCTCCCTCTGGCTGCCATCTGCTGCCCAGCACAAAGCAAACGAGGGGCCACTGCCGCCCATCTGCTCAGCAAAGAGCCAACTGAGCAACCTTCCTGACTGCAGCCACTGCACCGGGGGCTGCAATTGCTGGAAGTACCAAGGAGGCAGAGGGAAGACAGCAATGCCTTTCGTTGTGCTTCAGCTGGATGCTGCAGCACTGAGCCCAAGTGGATCCTGCTCTCATCCATCCTGGCAAGAGAAAGCATGGTGAGTCAAGCTGGGGCTGGGGAAGAGGAAAACTACTCTTGCAGTGGAGTGTCACAGAGTATTGGTGTTTTGTTCTTGTTATTTTTTTTTTTTTTAAGCCATGAAAGCATTTCCACTCTGGGGCTGAACCTTTAGACCTGTGTGTTCCATAGGGCGCTGCAGAGCACAGAGCACACAGCAATTGCAGAAGAGGGACAGAGGCTGCTGTTGACTGGGAGCAGAGGCTCCGCTCCCTGAACTCCTGCTGATGCTGTACAGCCACGTGCTGTGAGCAGGCCCTAAAAGCAGGAGAGAGATGTAAGAGTGCATGTAACAGTGTCCTCCAACCTTTGGCTTTTGTGATTTGGACTTCAGTACCACCTAATGACGCCTAGTGGTAAAAAAATAAGGCAGGGCCGCCCGTAAACAAGGCTGTGACTTACCATGCATTGATTTGTTAGTGCAGTGGACCCAGGGCTCAGACTTTGCTCGCTCCCTCAGTGGTGATGCCACTGCACCATGCTGACCCTTGTTTAGTAGTGCTTTGAGACAGATCATCTCCTTTTGTTTCATTAACCAAAACCATTTATTTTAGGGTCCATTTTTGGCAGTCATTACTTGGTTAAGGCTGCCATCAGGAAAGCTGACTGAACACATCTTTTTTCCCCAGGAAAGAAGAGACAAGCACTGAACCCCTGCTCGCTGCCTTCGAGCTCACTGTGTAAGCAATCTGCAGCAGATGGTGCCCAGATGTTCCCCATCACCAGCTGTTCCAGCTTTACACAGAAGACAACTCCTGCTCTTCAGCTCTGGAGCGAGGGCACTGGGAGCACAGAAGGGCAATCAGTGCTTACACACAAACACCAACACAGAGGCTGATTCTTCCTAAAGTTTCACCACAAGACACAAACTTCTGACACCCAGGGGAGCCTGAGCTAACTGTGCTGCCTGGAAGCCAGGCTGTTATGGCTGCCCAGGGCTCCATACTCGTATCTATGGAAAAGTTACCTTCATTGCCATAGTAACATAACACTGCTGCTTTCAGAAAGTTACTGCAAATACATATACCTGTGTTTTAAAGAGGTAACCAAGAAATAAAGGAACGCGTTTATCTGTCCAAAGTTGGAACAAAGATTTCATCGCTTTCTGAATTTCTAGCAGATAGATGCAGCTGGGGTGCAGGCAGCTGCCTGCTGCAGGAACAGCAGCTCCAAAGAAGCCTTTGCTGTCACCTTCCCCCTCATCTCTTCTGAGCTCTGCAGAATTCCTGGCCATACCACGACCTGCTCCTGGAAGCACCCAGGTGCTCTGTCAGCTCCCATGGCCTCAGGCTTCGTCCACCTGCACACTGCAGCCATGTGAAGCACACTGCAGACCTTCAACCGGGAGCAGCATTGCAGCACATGCAGTTGTGTTCACAAAGATGGGATGCAGGGAGAGGGAGAAAGTCACAAACCTATGGGCACTTCTGGCACATTTGCTGCAGCTGTTTACAAGCATTGTAACTCCGATCCTTCTGCACATACACAACTCCTCCCTTCCCTGCAACCACCCAGCCACCAGTACTGAAAACAGGGAAGAAAACCCTGAACAGCCTCTTGCCCTGCTTTGTTCTGCCAGCTCCACCAAGCAGAGGAAGCAGGAGCAGCAGACAGCAAGTCAAGCTCCTGGCTGCAACAGCTGAGGGAGGTACAGGACACGGCCCAGCGGGGCAGGATGCTGGCACTCAACATTCTGTGAAATGCAGCCCCTTTCCTTCTCAGCCTTTCTGCCTGCTCCCACCCGCTGCTCCTGTCCCTGAGCTTTGCTCCTGTGCTCCAACTGCTGTCCATCCTCCTTACGACCCCGCTAAGCAGCCCACAAACTTCTGAGGTGTTCCAGGGTTCCCTTTAAGCTACTCCCAGCCCTTTGACCACAGCAGAAGCATGCCCAAATGCCCAGCATCCCATTCCCATCCAACCTTCAAAGCACCACATTAAAGAAAATCCTTTTAGCTTCACTATTTGACATCCAATAGGCAGTAGAAAAAGCCTTAGATTTTATTTCTTGTAAAAATCTTTTAACACATGCAGACTAAAACCAGTGTAAGAAAGTATCCACCATCGTTTAAACAAATAACTATACTTAAATATAAGTGTCTGCAATTGACTTGTATAAAAATAAGGTACATTTCGCTTTTGTACAGAAATCCATTCTCCAGTTCTCGTATCAATAAACAATACACAACTCTAATACATACAGTTCAACCTGATCGCTGTTCTCCATCCGTCTGATACTGCTAAGGTATTATGTGCAAAAGTTGGTAACAGTTTCTTTCCCAAAAGAAAAACGCTCTACTTGTTTTTAGAAAAATCAGATACTGGGTTTAAATTAATCAAATGCTCATCGATTCCCTTGCTCTCCACCGAGTCCATGCTGTGTGTTATGTACAGGCTCCGCCGGAACCCAGCCAGGCTCACTGCTCAGCGCCTGTGCCTGCTGTGCCCCGACCGGCTGCTGCTGTGATGTTTCCCTTTGTGGGACCTCTCGAAGGAGCGGGATCTCTCCCGCCTGTCTCTGTGGTGCCCCCTCTCATGCCTGTGTTTCTTGGCAGCATCAGAATGATCCCTGGATTTGCTCTGCGACCGCGAGCGAGACTTTTTCCTTTTGTGGCCGTGTCTGTTTGCGCTCTTCAGCTCCTCCCTGCCGTGCTTGGCCTTCAGGTGCGGAGAGCCGTGGTTGTGGTGCCTGCGAGGGCTGCCGCTGTGGCTGCGGGATCTGCTTCTCGACCTCGAGCTGTACGTGCCGGACAGACTGCGCCTGTTATTGTAGCTTTCAGAAGCGGCACGAGGTTAAAACGTGTCACTCACACACACACAAAAGCTTATTTTCCTGTTCAGAAGCTTCCAGCTTACTGGGAGAAATCCCTGTGCAGAGGGGCTAACTGATGGGCGAGTGGCGTTCTCAGAACACCATAACGGGACAGAATGTATTTTGCAATTCTACCTCGTCACAAACTCTCAACGTCAGGTTAGAGGGACAAAGGCAGTAACCAAATCAGCAACACCTGGGGAACACTTGATTGACATTTAAGTTTGCTGTTTCCACCCCAAATATCAGCATGAAGTCTAAAAGCAGATCATGCCATCAGATCTGCAATCAGCCTACACTGCCTCGCCCGCTCCCCTCTGATCCCACAAAACACAGGGAACAATGACAAAAGATCAACTGCCCTCCTCAAAGAGCAGCAGGCACAGTACAGCAAGCAGCCCCAGCCCCAGCCCCCAAACAGAAAGCACCACTTACTGCCGCCTGGGAGTATGAGAGCGAGAGCGGGACTTTGTCCTGGACCTGGACCGACTGGCACTTCTGCTGCTCCTACTTCTCTTGCTTTCTTTTCTCATGCTGGAACAGGGAAGAAAGAAACAGGGTTATCCTTCTGAGGTGTTCATCACTTTCACTGAACAACTCAGAAGTAATTCAGTCGAAGAGAGCAAAGTCTCCTGGAACAGGAGTTTTTCCACCTACCCATTGTAAGGGCTCTTGGAAGCTTGCTGCCTTTCTTCTGGCTCTTTTTTAATGGTTTTGGTGTTCAAAGGTACCGGACTCTTCTCTTCAGTTTTCACTTCTCTTGGAGAAGCTGCAGATTTAAATTCAAGATCAGATGTTTTACCTGGAATTCGCCATAAGCATACTGTACTTTTTTATATATACCATCCCTGCTGCTTGTAGAAAGGGCAAACAGGAACTCAAGAGCTGCTATTTGTCATCCCTGGTGGCGTTTAAGGGCAGATGGGGTAGTAAGGGATGGGACTTAGAGGGTTATGCTGGTGGGAGGTGGATGGTCGGACTGTTAGATCTTAGAGGTCTTTTCCAACCTTTATGACTGTACAATTCTATTTCCTTCTCCCGCTGAGAACAGCACAGTGATGGAGATGCCCACAGGCAGACAGAGACACGCATGTTCAACTGCTACGATGGCAGCTAACAGAAACAAGACTGCTCAGCAAAGTGACAGATTTCATTTTTAGGTGCTTAGTACAAGTCTAACAAATAGAAGAACAGAACTTCAGTTCAAAATCCACACTGAGATCCCCTGCCAAAGACCGCAGGCTCCTCCCATTGGAAACATTGCCACTGGCTTGGCTAAGTGTGCTACAAACCCATCCAGCCCTGTGGATGAGGAACTGATAAATGCCATGCAAAACACTGCCACTAAGAGCCACACACTGCCAGCTGCCCTACCGACAGGGGGCTCACAGGTTTACTGACAAAGCACAGGAAGCAAAGCTTTGCCAGCAGCTGCCCCAGAGCTGCCAGTCAGCAGGATGCTGAACGCCCACCGCAGGCCCTGCCTTCACTCAAGTTCTTCTAAGCCAAATTCCAACTTCCCAAATACAGGGAAGCCCTTTTGTTTTTTAGTGAGAAACGTGCCCTTGCTAACTCAGTGATGTTCAGTTTTCAAGAGAAATGACGGTTACAAAGCAACTCTGCTTTCTCAGAACACATTCTTAAGCTCCTGATGAGTACCTGTGGAAAGAGGGCCATCAAGAGGTAAGATGGAGCAAACAAAACTGTTCTGAATTCAGACAGCTTTTTCCATTGCCTGATTGAAGATAGGCACTACAGGGTTTTACTGTGACACCACAACAGCACCATTGCTGTGACTTCCCCTTCTGCTTCCTGACCACAGCCTGCCTCAAAGGTACTTCAGAAAAGCAGCTTGCAGAAACACCTGCTACAAAAGGAGCCCTGAACCTACTGGGGCCCTGCAACACATCACATCCCCAACTCTCTGTAACACAGTAACGTACAGCATACCTGGTGTGGACACTTTCAATAATCTGAAGGGAAAACGTCATTAGTATGCCCCTGTCCCTCCTGTGGAAGTATAGAAGACAGGGAGAGCAAAGCAGCTCTACTTCCCCCCTAATTTGCTATTTCACTTATTGGTAACTGGAAAAATGTCTCTTGCTTCTTCGCTCCCTAAGAGAGTCCATGTTGTCCTGCAGCTCAACAAGCAAACTTACATTTAAAACAAATAAAACAGTACACTTTTAAAATCCTCACATAGTCTCAGGTGTTATCACACAAGTTCCTGTACAAGAAAACCAGCTTACATGGTTTGGATGCAGGAGAAAAGCCACCCAGTGTCGAAAGTGCTGGAGTTCCATCCGGATTTAAGCCTTTTGCCTTCAGTTTAGCTTCCTGTAGTGCCATTTTCCTTTTTTCCACTTCTTTATCCAGCAGCTCGTAATTGGGCTATTTAAGTAACAAGAGGCACAAAGCTAAACTTCAGCAATCTTGTTTCCATCCCGTTTCTCCCAGCACAGCTCTCACAATCACCTGCCCAGCAAGGCAACTCATTTCTGAGCTTCTGCCATCTGATCTCACCCCTCCCTGGGCAGCAGCTGCCACACAGCAGAGCCCTCACAGCTGCACAGCTGCTTCTGCACGGAGATGCACCCAGGCCCCCAGCCAGCTCTGAGACAGCAGGCGCTGCCCAGAACACAAGCACAGCACGGAGGTACCTTCTTTCTGGTGTAGAGCTTCAGAGTTGTGAGGCAAATCTCCTGGATCTCCTCTTCCGTGGTGCCGAAGAGCAAGAACCAGTGCGGGCGGGTGGGCAGCGGGATCTGCAAGGAAGGAACAAAGCTGCACTGAGAGCAGGGATCAACTGCACGCACCGCCACCGCCTCCTGAAACTGAACTTCTAGCAACTGAAGTCTGCAGAAAGGCAGAACAGCACTCACCTGCAGAGCTCTAGCAGCAAGATAAATGCAAGCACATGCTATAGTCTCTGGCTGAAAGCGAACAAACACGTTTGTTCGCAGGCTGTCATTCATGTAATTCCTAAAAGACAGAATTCAGGCAAGGTTGGATCTCAGGTTTGCATCTTTAGAGCACAACAATACTGGAGACTCAATTGACTTTATTATTTTTTCCTGTTATTATATTAAATCATTTGGTTTCTTTAGTTACTGCATTTGATGTTTACAGTTCTTACTTCTGTTAAAGAAGTCTGCACCATTCCCATTGCTTTGAAAAGCCAATGCAAGTAACACCACGTAACAGCTTCTAAGTTACGTTGCACCATGAAGTGTCCACTGAGCAGCAAACCAGCAAGTGCTTCTCATCCCTGCAGCTGTTTGCTTTAAACACCAACGTTCTCGTATTTCAAAAATCAATCTGCTCAAGACTCAAATGCAAGCATAAAAATACAGCATGTTTTTAACCTACCATTTTCCAGAGGCTAGATGCAACCTATAAAGTTCACAGAACATTGCATTTAGACCTTATGTGTGCTCTGATTAACACCAACTTCATCCCAAGGGAGAAGCCTCCGATTTGCTTGCTGTGTTTAAAACCTCCGTGTTAAAAAAGAGCTACAAGTCAGCAAGTTAGCACCAGATCTCCTGCTTCACTAGGCTACTTCTCTTCCAGCATGGTGGCACTGCCAAGCAACACATGCCAAGAGTTTAACAGCAGAGATCTCCATGATTTTTAAAGTTTCTGAGCTACGGGAGAGAAACGAACAGCAGTCAGCAAGTATTGACTGTACAGAACAGACATGAGTGAACATGCTTCATGCACTACTTTAGTATGGAAAACAAAAAACCAACCCTCGAGTCTAGCCAAGTGCAAAACCAACTAATTCACGTTGGCAGAAGATCTCCCCAATGTGTCCATGGGCCCTCTAAATAAACTGCAGTATACAGTAGCTAGGCAACAAATACATTTAGAAACATTTTTAACAGGTACTTCTCAAAGCAAATATACAAATCCTTTTGACACCCAGACAGAACTAGAAGATGTTGCCCGATGGATATGGACCACTTCAGTGAATCTCGGATGAGAGCTTGCACTGGGTTGGCTGGAGAGAAGGGCAGCCAAACAGGCCATCCCCAGGTCATGGGCTGAGGTGCGAGGGCAGAGCTCTATGACTTACCATCAGGGACTACCCTTTAATTAAAGAGTAGAAAAAAGAACAAAGTTAAATTGAGTTCTCCATTACAGAGTGGAATCAAGCCATGAAAATAGTAAGCAGAAACAAGCACTATAATGTTTTGAAAGTAAATAATCATGTAATGACTTACATCTCATTGCTTTGCATATGGATCATCAGGCTTATTATTTCTGCTACTATTTTCCTGGCTAGGAAGAGAACAGAAAATCACTTACCAGGCTGTCTGTACCAGGGTTTGATTACGTTCACACTCTAAGACTTGTAAATACATCACAATGATCTGAGGGGAAGGAAAGAGAAAAAAA